TTGTCTGGTCACCATTTATGCATATGCTTGCAAAAAGCATGTATCAGCCTTTAAAAAAATACATAAATATTTATTAAATTATTTATAAATGTATTTGAAATGAAGGATTTATTCATTCATAAACTGTGAAAATTACTGTGAAGAATTCTAATTTTTAAATGTATCTAAATGTATAATGATTATAAATATTATCCAAATATATAATAACCTTAATATAGAATTGTAAACATAAACTGAAATCCTGTTGGCAAATACCTTTACAAAACTATTTAAGCAAGAATTGTTCGTATGAGAAAGCAATCTGTAAAAAGGTATTGTAAAGCAAATTCTATGAGATGCATACTTAAGGAAGTAATAAAGAAAATTTTTAGAAGAGTTTTTATTGTTGAAATTAAGGGTAAAAAAAAATCTGATAAGTATAATTAAAAGAATGATCTCCTTACATTTTATAATTCAGTTACAGGTTTTAAGTAATAGTAAAAAGAAAATCTTTTTTTTTTTTTTTTTTTTTTTTAATTTTCTTTCAGAAATATTCAGAGAAAGTTAAGTACATGGAAATGAGAGTTAATATTTAATGTATTTCACTATTAAAATAAAAGGTACTCAATTTCAAATGGGCCGAACAGAACATTAATTATAAATTGACGTGGATTTTTCAATTTAAAAGATGCCTCAGAAGCTAAAAAATCATGTCATATTTGAGAAAGTATTTTAGGAAGAAGATCTACAAATAGAAAAGAAATCATGCATAATTTTAATATTAATAATACAATAAACTTTGATCTTAATTTTTGTAATCCTTAACTGAATAAAATCGAATTATCTTAAAATGTTTTTCTAATGTAAATAACAAACACTTTTGAAAATATTTCCTTCAAATTAAACCGTTCTGAGCAAACTGTTCTGTGAAAAATATCACATTTAATTCCATTCAGAATGAAATGTTGTTTAAAAATGTATTCTTTTCTTAGGACTCTGAAATATTGTAGAAAAAGAAAATATATATATTTATATGTATATTTCCGATGTAATTATAAAATATTTGCATCCGATCGTGTCAAAACCCATTAATCTTAATGGTAAGTCACTGAATGTTTTGGTCATCATGAAGGGATCGCCAGTGCTTCAAAAGCAGTGTATGGGGAAAGCCGGTTAGGGCCTCTCTTTCTTACTTCCTACTTCCATGAGTTAGCAGCAGCATAGCTACAGGGGGCAAGGGGGTATATCTGTCCCTGGACGCAGCATCCAGGCGCTATCGAACTGATAGTACAAATTTTTAGAATGAACTGCTTTCTATTCTTGGCAAACAAGAGGGGCAGGAAATCTTTAGTTGCCTATGGGCGCTCAAAACCTTACCTGCAGTTCTGCAGGTTGTCCGAGCAAAAATTTTTGGGAAGAACCTGGTTCTAAATTTAGCCTAAATTAGATTATTAATTATGTTATACCATGAATAGAAACCCATGAATGGAATAGAAATGATTATGTTATACAATGACTAAAAAAACCATATCTTATATGGATATATTATTGAGAAAAGCATCATAAACCTAATGGCATTCTCAAAGATTTGAAGAAAATTCTTCATTCTCTTCAACCAAAAGTTAATGCTTCCCTTTTATATTAAATAAAATTTGAGAGTTTCATTAAATGTAGTTCAATGATCTTTACTTTTCTTTCATTAAAAAGAAGTTTGGTAGATTAGAGTCTTTCACAGCATAAGGAAAAATTTCTTGATTTTAAAACACATTTGTCAAGTTCTTAGGAAAGCATTTCCAAATGGTCATCAGCAAGACAAAGAAACAAAGCACTTTTTTTTTTCTTTTTTTTGCTACTCTCGAGAAATTTTGAAAGAACAAAAAGAATAAGAATTTTCTATTCGACCGGGGGGGGGGTCTACCTGGGTCATGAACTGTGAAAGGTGATGTCTGCTTATTCTGAAGAAGCAGTTTCAGACTTTGCAAATATATAATAACCTAATATATAATAAAGCCTAACCTAAATATATAATAAAGGAGTCTTTACGACTTCCTTTTGTTGAGTACCTTTGGTCATTTAGCAGACAACATAGGATAGTTCGCCCGGAAATCGCACCAGGGGATTTCCTCAATGCATTTCCGTAGTTAATTTAACTGAAAGTTGGTCTCTTGAAAAACAGGAAGTAATCTAATTAAAATTGATGTTTTATTAGAGATGAGACGTTATCACAAAACTTCTCCTCCTGGGGAGGGGATGTTTCAGAACTTCAATTCCTCGTACTTAACTATCACAACAAGTAACTCATAAAATCAACATTAATTAATGAATATTAACACAAATTTCTTTTTACACAACACTGGGTCAAGTACCAAGGATAAAACAATAGGAACTTACATTGAGGCCAGTTAAAAAAAAAAAACAGAAAACAAATACTAAGAATGTATCTTAATCATACACATACATTATAGAATTTTACAATTTTTCTGAAATATGTAATACACAATATACCTTCTTAAATCTAATATTAATTATATATCTATCCAGGCTGAAAAGGCCCTGAAGATATTTGATTATTAGTTTCTGGTAATCTCTCTGCAGAGACCTGAAACCTGATCCAAAACTACTGCACTTGACCTCAAAATAAGCATACACATTTAATCTGGCATTAACATAAGAAAAAACCTACTTCATTATAAGTTGGATTTACATCATTCATGAAGTAACTACAATTACTCCCTTTTGACATCTCAATATAAGGCACTAACATAAATAAATGATGAATTGTGGATTTTTCTGTTTTCCCTGGTGAATTTACATTACACAGTGTTCTGGGTAAATCTCTTATGAAAATTTAAAGCTTTGGCAAATTTGCCGACTATTTGTCTGATTGGTACAAAGCCCCAATTGGCATATCTAAATTTTCCTGTTCTGATGAAAAGTTTTAGTAAAACGTCCACCTCACTAACAGAAATGGAGATTTCTAATGGAGCCATCTCCGGATATGTGTACAGTAACCAAGGTGCAATTATAATACTTTCCTTTCCCCTAAGTGTGGTGGGTAAAATTCCGCATGTAATTATGTTTCTTTCTTTAACTGCTTCAGGAATGACCAATAGCTCTAAAGTCACATCTTCTCTTTGTTAAGTCAGATAGCAGAGTTTTGTCGATCGAAATAAGGGGCAGTTCATACACCTCTGCGTTAGGCAGGAACAATTTGAACTCCCTCAGTTCTTTTGTTCGGGACGAAAAGTTGCTTTCTTTGATACCACTTTTCTCCGGGGGTCTAAAGCTGTCACATTCAGTCTGGTTTTTGTATCCTCCTGCGATCTCGTGAAAGGAAGGTCCATCAAATTGATTTTTCTCTAATTTTTCGGCCGTCCAGTTTCCTAGAAGATAACATCCTTCATCAAGCTCTTTATGAATGATGGATGCCTTCGTTATTATCCATACAAAATCCCATTTTATTTTGATGTGTGCTGAAGTAACACAATAAGAGCGATGCCAAATGGCTGTTTTACCCAAACAGTTTCACCTGTCAACAATGAAGGAGTGATGGATTTGTGGCATATTATATCAATGCATGATCTGGTATCGCTCAGCACTGGCAGATCGAACCCGTTCACTTTAGCCATCATTCGTAAGGGGACAAACAATCTTCTTCAATTTCCTGCACCCTATTTACAATAACTGGTGATGCGAAATCTTTCTGTACTTTCGGACATTGTGGCCTTAAGTGATCGGTTGATCCACAAGAATAACACTTAAATGGTTTTCGTACATCAAAATGACATTCATTCTGACTTCAGAGAGTTCCCTTTTTTTCATAGGCATATCTTAGCTTCCCCTCCAGGACAGGGTAATTACCCGCCTAGATCTGTAGACTTGAATGGTTGAAGCTTGGAACAAGAAGATGCTGACACCACCTAACTTATCCTCTCAACTTAAGATTTTAATGGATGCTGATGATCCAGACTCTTATATCACTTACCACAACACACCACACTTTTCCTCACACTTTTCTTCATACTTATAACTTTCAGAAACTGATGATCCAACAAGAGGTTGATAATCTTCGAACTGGAGTTTTGGAACCTGATGGTCCACTACTAACACAGATGAAAAAAAAAAAAAAATTCTGATGAAATCTTGCACAATGACGGTCCTAAAGCTTGAGCTGAAATCAGTAGACCGAAGTTCTTTCAATGGATGGACGTCCATAACTTTTCAGTGGATTTCCGATCCACACAAGCTTAATGATAAGCTGTATACAGGAAGTGTCATTCCTCTTTGATTTTGGACTGTTGTTTTTAACTTTTTTTCATATCCCATAGCTGCCACCTTGTTTATAGCTGTATGATCATCTGTGATAGATGAAGGAAGTAGACCAGCTATCATTTAAATATTTATTTTAAAACTTAATGAAGATTTCTTGATTAATAAAAAGTAAAATACAGTACAGCCATAATACAAACCTATTTTATTATGTTTTTTATTATACTTCTACTGTAAACATTAAATTTTGTGTTTTCATTTTTTCTTTATTTTGTGAAAGTAAACAGTTTTTAGGGAGCAAAACTTGCACTTCTTTTCTTCTTAATACATCGAATAACTATGCGAGTCTGTGTATAAAAAACAGTGGTACTGGGGAGTAAATTTTGTATGTTTTCCGCGGCAGTTAAGGGGTTAAAGAGAACAACTGTTTTTGAATTGATTCTTCAAGCGATTGCCATAAAATTTTCACCAGAACAAAACAAATCAAACCTGCCTGTAAGTAGGTTTGACTGACAGATTTCCATGATAAATATACAATGAATATGTGAAATAACATATAGAGTAAATATTGTTTTGATATAACAAATATTTTTTTCTTTCTTTCTAATCTATCAAACTTAGCCAAAATGATTGTGTAAGTACCACTTACAGTTCTTTTGTTAAGAATGTAACAAAAATATTTGCAATTTCACATTTTATAAATGTAGACTAATATGAAAAAATACATATATACATAATACATATACACTTACATATATTCTGACTTCTCTTTCCACTGTATTATTAATTTCAAATGCTGCCTTTTGGTATCGCCACACAACAAAAGTGCTTGGTCAATGATAGGCATATACAAGGGCAAATCAACACAGGAACTTAATGTTTCATGCACTGGTTCACCATCAACCACAGATATGGAGAAAAAATCTTCATCTTCCTAAATATTTTTTAATTAAATACATACAGAATATGGATTTTACCTATCATCTTAAAATAAATAAATAAAAGTACTAAATGCATAAAGTAATGATTTTATTTTCAAATTTTGGAAAAACAATACTGTGTATGAAATTACATACATGCTACTTTTAACAGCACAAAATAATGTATAAAGTTCATTTAGCTAGACTCCTAAATTATGAACTGAAGTTGGATATTTCGAACATTTAGTGATTTAAATCAGTGTCACCTAAACCTTTTAGTTCTGTGGCACACATGCATACAACTCTTCTGGGAGAGTTGGGGACGAAGGAAATTTTTAGAAGAAAATGATGTAATAATAAAATAATGGAAAAAAATGTATATAATTATTTACAATTAAATGATAATTATAAATTAATTCTTAATAATAAGCAGATATGCATAATTACACACACCAAAAAAAAAATTTAAAATGTTTTAAAACTCAACAAAAATTATAATCAGACTTTCAAGAACTTTCAAGGTAAGTAGACCTTCAAAAACTACCTACTTCAAAACCATTTTAAATGCTTGAAAATCAAGCACATTTGGCAGGTTCAACTCAATTCATTTGAACTTTGCTAAACATTCAAAACATAATATAAAAGACTATTAAATTTTTATAAACTGCAAATAACTAATACTTCGATACAAATGTACATATACAAAATTTCATCCGATTAATTATTTCTTATATCATTTTTTCTTACATTGGCATTTCACTGCAATAACATGTCAAACAGAATATCATTGTTGATTTAAATTATAATTCTACTAAACATTTAAAATTTTAAAATAAATGTTAATATTTCATTCTAAATACTTTCTTTTATTCATAATGTTGTAAAAATTTTATGCACATTATTGTAAATCTTTCCTCATATATTGGTGTCGTCACCCCACTTTCAATCACTTTTGCTAGGATGTTAGGCATGACATTATAAAGATTATTAGTTGTAATAAAAGTAAAATAGAGTGAGCTGAAAGAATTATTTTAGAAAGGGGGGAAGAAGAAATTAATTTTCAAATCATATTGAAAAAGAGAATATTAACCAAAAAATAAAACACATTATTTTAATGTTTGTATCCAAATAGACTTTCTTCAAAAAAAATGTTACTTATCACTCTGAGAAATTTCTTTCTCAATCTTCTTTCCAGCTGCTTTGCTGGTAAGCAGAGGAAATATTATTTATATTGAAAACTGTACATGTTTCTGCACTCAGATTAAACACTAGGTAGAGAATCTGAGAGCCCCAAGTTAAGTGAATGATTATGTGACATACAAAAAATAAAATTTCGTTAATGGAACAAATATCCTGAAATCTGAATTTGATTTTGTCTCTAAGCATTTTATCTTGAGGTAATCAGGAAATGAAGTATAAGATTTTTTTTTTATGATATTAAAGTGCACAGGATTAGTAAGTTCAAAAACAAAAAATACCTGTTGTTGGTCACCTTTCATGATATCCCCCACAGCTATTAAAATGTAACTTTTAAGTTCTTTGTAACTAGATTCCCTCGATATTTCTAAAGCAAATGGCTTCCAAAACCTTAAAACAAGGAATATAAATATAAATAAAATGCTAAGCAAAATATACATGATACTAATTTTTTTATCACAATATTTTAACAATGTTTATTCCGACACTAAAATAAATGTATTCCTATACTCTGATGTAATAGATACAGTGCTCAGCTGTAGCAGTCACTTAGATGTGCGAAAAAATTATGTAACAAAATTTAAAATTTTATTTACTAAGAGGTATAAAATTTGCATTAAAAAATTAATGAAATTCTTGGAATTATTTTCTTATACAGTAGTACTTAATAAACATATATAAACATATATATATTAATTGTATATGTCCCCAGAATAAGAGGGAGAAGATTGAGGATGTCATAGATAAAAAGAACTTTGTCCAACATCCAACACATTAAACAGAATATTATAGAACATGGGTTGGAATTATAACCTGCTGGCTATATCCAGCTAGTCATGTCTTTCAGCAGGCCATTAGAAAAGAATAACATATTAAGCTTTAAAATGTTAGGAAAAAATAGGCTTTTATGTTTTATTTAATAGAAATAAATGAAAATAATTGGAATAGAAAGCTTTGTATGATGAGAAACCTAGACTAGTTACAAATACACATTATATTCTAGTACGTAAAGCATATTTATTATCAACAGCTGGACTAAATGATAAAAAAATAATCTTTAAATCTCCAAATTTTATCAACTCAAAACCACACTAACTTCCTGAATATTTTCTGAAGTTCTGGCTATCAAATCAACAAAACTTTGCAAATGTAAAATATCTAGAGCATATAATTATTTGATAACAGATGCTTTGCAAAACATATTTAAAAATATATGCTCTAGAACCAATAGTCCCAATGATTAACTTCAATGATCTCATGAAACTTAACATTTATTCTAATGGATTATAACTTCTTTATAGTTCTGCTGATTTCAATTTTATGTTTATAAGTAAATTAACTAATGAAATGAAATTTACTCCTTGCTTACTAATACGTATCATAATTTATTAGAAAACGAATATCATAAGAATTACTTCTAGCTGTTATCAATATTTACAAAAAAAAAAAAAAAAAAAAAAAAAAAAAACGGGAATATCTGTGATATTTATAATTTCTTTAGAGCTTCCATACAAAGAATATTTCATAAACGTTTTTGTTTAATGGTCTTATTTTCAAAAGCAATCAGTTAATGAATGAATAGAGATAAAGGAGAAAAAATCTTTATTTAACTAAAAAGTTAAGAACTGCAAAACAAATTATCTTCTAATAAGTCTAATAAGAGGCATAATAAAAACTTAAATCTTTCAAGTGAGAAAATAACTAAATTCTGTAATCAAAGAAGCATGTACAAAAATAAGTTCTAACTCATATTCAGTGAATGATCAATCAAGACAATGAGAAGATTGATAATTTACATATTAATTATTATTATTATTGAGTTCAGGCTAGTTAGCAAAAAAGCATTAGAGAAGATTATAGATTACTCTGAATACTGATACTGATCAATAATTTAGATATTAATTATTATTATTATTGAGTTTAGGCTAGTTAGTAAAAAAGCATTAGAGAACATTATAAATTACCCTGAATACTGATTTCTGGGATATTTTATCTAAAGAATCATGTCTTAAGTAAGATCAACTACAAGCATAGCTTTGGTAGCAATGTAATCATCAAATATATATATCTCATGATCTTAATCATGGAACCTCAAATACTGGTTATCAAATTCTATATTTAAGACAATAATCACAAAATTTAGACAACAGTCAAGTAATGAATTAATGTTATGATAATTTTATTTGTATAAGTTCATTTGTATATGTAGTTGTTATTTGTATGATGTATATTCCTATTTATAAAATGTGGTATATTGCCTGCATTGTTAAAAATTACAAACTTTCAAAACAAACTCAGAAAAAGATTTCAAAGTTCAGATACTTAAGACACTTGCACAGAAAATATTATGCACATAAGACGAGAAAAAATTATTTTAAAAGCTAATGCTCACATTTTTCTTCCTTGACAATTTTCTATTACATTTATTGCAAGAATGTTAATCATTTCTCTTTCAAGCTTTGAATCATGTTTCTGGAAGTATAGTTCAATTGCATAAATATTTCCATTATCTTGGAAAACAGAAACTAGGTCAGCATCATTAAATGTTCTTTGGAATTCTCCATTAATAATTTCAGTGAAAACAACCTGAAAAAAAAAATTAACATTTAACACTTTTGAAAAAGAACAGCTTTAATTCAAAGAGACTGTAAAAGTCCTAATTGTCTATACTAACTTTACAAATTTTACACACATTTTCCTCACAAACGACAAAATATGGAAACATGAAATTTTATCAGTATTAAAGCTATATTATGAAACAGTCCATGGAATATTAGCCCAGTATCACTACAATTCTATTGCACGGACATACAGGAAGCACTTATTATCAAAATCATCATAAAGTATGATGCCATTTTTTAAAAATGATATCTTGTTAATAATGCACTCTTTTGCAGAAAAATCAAAGCACCAAGGACTTTTGCGATCGTGACAAAATTTGGTATGCAAAAACAAAATGACAGAACATGCAAATGATCAAAATTTCAAGGCAAATGAACAGGAACTGCGATCATAACGCACATTTCTAGTGCGCAATTTGCAAAGTATAAAAACCAGTAACAGAGGCCGAAAATTAATTTTTTTGTGTTCTTGCCATTGTAATTCCGTAAACAAGCAACTAAAGATGCCATTACGACGATATCAAAGACCTTACAGACAACTAAACAACTTCAAACATGGTCAATTAGTAGGGTTGCGTGAAGCTGGGTGGTCATACCGAGCAATAGGCCACCACCTGCAGCATACAGACATTGCTGTGCAAAGATATTGGCAGCAATGGTTACTACAAGGAAATTGCCGATGAAATGAAGGCTCTGAAAGGCCAAGGATCACAAATGTGAGGCAAGATAGGATGATTGTTCGCCAGGCCGGAACTGCCCCAACGGTATTGTTGTCGACTATTCAACACACTACAGCCTCGTCTATACCTTCTGTGGTACCGTCCACCATCTCACGGTGCTTGTCTGGGGCGGAGTTATGCTCACAGAAGCCTTTACGACGTTTGCCTTTGACCCCCCAACATCATTGGCGGAGTCGTCTTTAGTGGTGTCGCAGCCAATCATCATGGCTACCATCAGACTGGCATCGTATAGTGTTCGGAGATGAATCCTGCTTTACTCTTCAAGCAGATGATGACCGTGTTTGTGTTTGGAGAGGACGGGGCCAGCGGTCCCAATCAGCCTTTGTTTCACAAAGACATACAGCCATAACCCCTGGTGTGATGGTGTGGGGCACTATTTCTTATGACAGCAGGTCATCTTTAGTCATCCTCCGCACATCTTAAGCAGCTCAATGATATGTTGATACCATCCTATGGCCGGTTGCATTACCCTTCAGGGCATGTCCTCCTAGGGACATTTTCCAACAAGATAATGCCAGGCCACATATCGCTCGCATATGTCTGGACTGTCTTTGTGCGGCTGATACTCTTCTTTGGCCAGCAAGGTCACCAGACCTTTCACTAATCGAGCATGTCTAGGACATAGTAGGCCGCCAGATTCAGGCACCACAAAATATCGCAGATCTGGAGCAACAACCAATGAATGCCTGGCAGAATGTGTCACACGATGACATTAGGAACCTCTACCACTCATTGCCTCGACGAATTCAAGCATGCATTGCTGCCAAGGGTGGTTCGACCAATTACTAATTTGAACACTCAGTGGGTGATTGTGAGCCGTGAACAGGTACTATGACCTTGATTTTTTTATCATTTTATTATCTGTGTATATGATACGGTGAAACACTGAAATTTGGAGAATAACGACTTAGTCGCTTGGTGTATGTCCGAAATATTTTCCAAATACTCTTATTTCTGACTTACACCAGTAAATGTCGACATTCACCATGTACTAATGGTGAATGTTGAATATATAAGAATAGTATATTTTCTTCTCCGTAATTCAGTCGCGAAAAATGCACTTGAGACTTTAAGAACATAAGAACTTAATACACACAATATATTCAAAAGGAGAAAGAAAAATAATAGAAGTTAAAAACTTACTAAATTATGTGATTCAAATCTTATTTATTGCAACAACTTACACTATTATTACACTTTGAATTGCACAAGAGACCCTTGCTTTTACAACTGCATTTATTTGTGGAACACTTCCTTTTGCAATGACAGCGTGTACATATACTCCTCTCTTTTCGACCTACACCAGAGCGTATCTGTGATTGTCGACATACACCGGTGAGGATCCGAATGTACAAGAATGTAATGCAATATTCGATCTTTCAGCGACGTATTTGGTGAATGTTGACATTCTCCGGTGAAATTCGACATTCTCCAATTTCGGTCTTTCGCGGTAACATATACATACATTCAATTTCATTAAAAACAACCACTTCCTTCATGGTGCTTTGACTTTTTTGAAAATGAGTACATAAACTCAATTTTATTTGAGAGAGAGACTACCCCTCAATAGCCAAATACATAATTCAAGGGATTAGAACACTTCTTATGAACTATATTAATCATATAAATGTTTATATGCACTCAGATATGTAACCCATCAGAAATATATTTTAACTTTTATAAGAAACAGTTTATAAAATTTATGAATTAGGTTTATTATAAATCCCATGAATAAGACTTTTATAAAGTACATCAATGACAATATTAAAATTTAAAGTACGAAAAAGTATGTATATCATTTTTTAATTACTTAGATAATTAAGCTATGTATAGTTTTAATTAAAAAGATTAAATTAAAGATCTCAATGTCAAATGACAACTTCTTTGATAACTGGCAACTTACAGGGCATGTAAATGATAAATTAAAGATCCCAAACCTCATGGAATGACACCCTTTTTCAATCTGGCAACTTGCCAGGACATATAAATGATGAATTATAGACTCATGGAATGATACCATTCTATGTTCTATGGAGATAAAAAAAAAAAAAAAAAAAAAAAAAAAAAATTGCTACAATAGTATAACATAATGGGACATAAAAAAGGAGACTCAGCTGCAAACATTTAATATCAGAGCCGCAATGAATTCATTTACTAGCAGATAATTCTGAATTATGTCACTGCTGAAAGTTAACCCCTTGGGTACATTTGACGTCTGAGACCACGTCATTCATTTTTCCCCCTAGAAGCAGATGACGTGTCTAAGACTTCAAACCAAAAATTAAACTCTAGGGTACATTTGACGTCTGAGAGACGTCATTCACTTGTTTTCCCTAGGAGCGGGTGACGTGTCTACGTTATTTGAGGTTAGGCACAATTCTGTTCATTTCATTGTAGCTTGTACCAGTCATAATAGAAGAGGCAATTACAGTATTTCGGTGAACATTATTCATGATACACTGCCCCATTATGTCAAAAACAAGGAATATATTTCATGATAGTGATAGCGAAAGTGACTTTGAGAAATCTAAAGAAGAATTGTTTAGTGATCCTGAAATTGACAATTACAATGAAATACAAAGCGAAGGTGATGAAGACGATATTGAACTAGAAAATGATGACAATTGTAATATAATATCAAGGTTTTGAAGACGCACAAGATGTCTATTGAGCAGTGATAGTGAATCTTCTCGTGAACCAGAAAATGATGACAATCTATAATAATAAAAGCAAGTGTAATGTGTCTGTCTGTCTGTCTGACCGAGCTCTCCAGCCAAATCTATCGCACGCAGGGACCTGGAATTTTTCATACGGAAGCACAAAGGGGCTGGCCACCAGACCTCGAAGCCCGATTTTCGATTTTTGAATTAGAAAAATTTTAAAAAAAATAAAAGCAAGTGTAATGTGTCTGTCTGTCTGACCGAGCTCTCCAGCCAAATCTATCGCACGCAGGGACCTGGAATTTTTTATACGGAAGCACAAAGGGGCTGGCCACCAGACCTCGAAGCCCGATTTTCGATTTTTGAATTAGAAAAATTTTAAAAAAATTATTTATAATTAATTAATTACGGTTTTTTTGACTCACTGATATTATTATTTGTTTTCAAATAATGTTCGATTGTAACAATTGATTTCTTTATTCTAGCGTTAGTTTGCTGTTTTGACGATACATTAAATCGATTAATTACAATTCATTTCTTTTTTGTAGCTTGTGGGGGGGGAAGAGAGAGAGACAGTCTACATGTCCTACACTACTATTCCTGCGCTATTCATTTTCTAAATGCACGGGCAACGCCGGGCGGGTACAGCTAGTTGTATATAAAATCAAGGTTTCGAAGATGCACAAGACGTCTTATCGAGCAGTGATAGTGAATCTTCTCGTGAACCAGAAAATGATGACAATTGTATATAAAACCAAGGTTTTGAAGATGCACAAGACATCTATCAAGCAGTGATAGTGAATCTTCTCGTGAAGCAGTATCAGAGGAATGGATTTAGGAAGAAGAAAATGTAGCCGATATAAAAAGTTTTTCTGAAATATCTGGAATTAATCCTTTGAGCCTGTGGAGACTAGGTGGTAATCCTACATTTTAGATGTTTTGAAAGAAGTCTTGAATGAAGATTTTTGGGACACTATAGTAGAAGAGATGAATAGATATGCCAGACAAGGGGTAGAAAAAGAAGGTTGTGTAACAAAAAAAAAGTTGGTTTCCTTAAGTTTTGATGAAATGAAAGCTTATATTGCATTATGCATCTTGATGTCACAAATGAAGAAACCAAAAATGCATATGCATTGGTCAAAAAGATATACAATAAGTACTCCAATTTTTGCCAGCACTATGGCACGTGATAAGGTTTTTGATATTTCAAGCTTTCTACATTTTACGGATAATGAAAAGGAAAATCAAGATGACAGAATAAGAAAGATTAGAAATATAGTGGATTACCTAAATAATATATTTTGTTACCTTTATACTCCTGATAGTGAAATAGCTATTGATGAATCGCAACCAAAAATTATATCCATTCTACATGCAAATATTTTCTCAAATAAATCCGTACCCAAGGGGTTAAAGTATATGTTTCTCAACATTCCATTGCTAAAAAACAATCCATTTTTTGTAAGCTATAAAGCAGTTTGATTACTTTAAAAAAAAATACAGCTGTGACAATGAGTAATATATTTATTTGCAATAACTAAAACTAATTCCCAAATATCAATCTT